TCCGATTTACGGCCGCTCTTTCCGGCAGCCCCCGGCGGGAGGGGGCGGTCGGCGCCGAGCAGTGACACGTGTGCTGCGGGCAGCCGAGCCCGAGCTTCCCCAGCCCGCTGCCAGCCTCTCTGGGCCGACCTGCGCGGGGGCGAGGGCAAACGGAGGCTGGGAACCTTGTCAGGTGCCAGTCGTTATCTGTTCACACAAAAACAGCGCCCGGCGTGAGCCTGAGGTGGCTTTTGCCGTCGTGAGAGTTACTTCCGTGCGTCTGGTGTGTTTTGTGTCCTGTTGGCCTAAGGTCTTGCACGGTTTAACTCGAACGGCTGTGGCTGGACTTGGGCAGAACAGCTGTGTTCACACCTAGCATTTCAAAGATGCATTTAAGGCTTTGGATTGAAGTCAGTTTAGTAACGAGCCGTTTTGGAATGATTTTAGAGCAGTTAGTGGGTGTCTGCACAAGTTATGAGTTTTTAAAGAGCTTTAGAGGAGCGGTTGCTATTTAAATCCTTGTAAGTAATGGTAGAATCGTTTAAGAGCATTGCTTAAAAATTTTTTTATATTAACATGACCAGGTAAGTCAGCCTTCCTTTCCTGCCCCCGAGGACTGAGTGACACAAGTGTTAGTAATGTTGATAATACTCTGAAACGTTGCAAGTGACTGAGCAAAGTATGGAAACAGCGAAGGGGGGGTATGGAGATGAGAAAACAGCTGAGATAATTGAAGAGCTATCAAAGCTGAGTTTACATTGCTTCTATAAAAATATTAGGTGGTTATGAGAAAAGCTTATGCAAATGTTACTTCATGAATGAATATGGCTGGTATTTCAGTGAAAGGTTCCCTGTGCTTATCCATTTGGAGACCGGTATTTCAAACTTCCAGTCTCTGACTCAGGAAGGAAACAGGTGTAGAGCAGTGGTAGGAAGAAATAAAATCACCGGGTTTAAGAAGAGCAGTTTTTCTTCTCGCATTCTTTCTGATCATTTCTAGAGAAAAGTACCTTAAGAACTTGAAGTTTTGTATTTAGAATAGAAAAGCTTCAGGTGATAGTTCCTTCTTTTTTTCTTTTTTTTTCTTTTTTTACAGCTATTTATAGGGAAGTGCAGCCTCTGCATTTTATATTCATCTGGTTTGTAGTCTTAATCCTACATGACACAGAAGTTTCCATTGCAGATATCATACTAGGACTTAAAGCGAAAATATGTAGGGAACAGATGGCATTTAAAAAAAAAAAAAGTCCTGTTTTTCTGCGGATGTCTCAGAAATAAGAGGAGCAGAATGCAGATGTGATATATAATAAATCAAGTGGAAGTGCACACTTTCTGAATTGTTAGGAAAAATACTTGGAGAACGTTTTGCAGGGTATGGTCACCTTGTCTCGCAGATGTGACTGCTTTGTACGTGGTGTTACTGCCTCTTGAAATTCCTGTTTCAAATTAGGAAATTAAGTCACTACAAAAAAAAAAACTTCACTAGCGTTTTCATGAAATGTAAAAAATATTTCAAGAGGGATACTTCTTTTTAATACAGAAAATACTGTGGTTGGATCTGTGAATTCCTCCAGGAGTGTGGGGTGTCAGATAATGTAGTTCTTGTTGTTACTAAGTGAACAAAAACTATTCACTCAAGAGTTAAAGTTGCTTTTTTTAATTTAATTTCAGTGTTACAAGATGTTTGAAGTTAGTTGTGTGGCTGCTGAATTGACTTAGTTGTGAAGTGTACTTCAGGGCATGCTTTATTCGTTTGTCTGTATGAACAGATTGGAAAAGGGCTGGCTCTGTTCAGCAGAGCTAAAACATAAAGCACCTCTCCAGTAAAGTGCTGACTGCTCTTGCATGGATACAGCTTTTTCTTACGGCTTTGTAAAAACACAACCATGGGATGACTGTCGCTATAACTTATACAGGGAAAGGTCATAGTTTCTGAATTTTGCAGTTGGCAAGGTAGTGTGTATACCAGAAATACATATATATGTATTGTTTGGGATTTTTAAGTTTTATGTTAATTTATTTGTAGAGGCAGGACTGGTTTCGATTCTGTTCTGCTAACACAGCAATGTAAGTAGACATTTTACTGTCACTTACGTAGTGACCAGGATACCAACTAAATCGTATGTGGCTTTCGTTTCAGTAAGAGTAATTAGAGTGCATGTTGTCTTTACTTGTCAGATTTGATGAAAAGCAGTGAAGTTGGCAGAAACATGGTCCTGCTTAGAATACTTCATGAATGCCAGGATGTTGTTTAACTTGTGTTCTGTAAGTTAATATGTTCCTTTGAAAATGCGCCAAACTTTAGTAAGTTACTGTATGGTCAGAAGATAAATTTACATTTTGGGGAGTGGATTTAGGTAGAGATTGATAGTGGTTAACTATCCACCGCCCCATACATGTATGCACAAACACTGTGCAGACCTAAAAATTCTAGGTTAGACGAGGCCATTAGCATGACAGTAAGTGGGAAGGGAAGCATATTGGTTAAATTTATCATGCATATTAGTGATCAGGCTGTATCACTCCAAACTGGAATTTCTTGATTAAAATGTGCTTAACTATTTCAGTTCCTGCCTTCTCTAGCTGGCCTTCAAAAGTGTCAGAAGAAGAATTTTAATACTTTATGCTTCTTCGACCTTTTTGTAATTAAACAGCAAAAAGACTTTGCAAAGTGTTGGTGTATACAGTTCCATAAAATGACTAATCTGAAATAGTTGCACTTCCAAGGTCTGGCTTAACAAAGATCATTTGAACCAGTGCATCCAAACATAACAGAGGTTTTCTGCAATAGGTGATCCTCAGAAATAAATATTTTGCAGGGTGTGTCCTTGTGCCTCAGGGACTGTTGTACACTAGAGAGTTCACCAGGAGCTACTGAAGTTCTAGGATTTACAGTCATTCTAGCAAAAATGTCAATGTATTTTTTTCTTTTTTCTTTTTTTTTTTTTTGTTTCCCCTGGAATCTTGTGATTACTTCCAGTTCAGTGTTTTCATAATCTTATCCTCCACCCTGGAAGGAGCATCACAGCTTCATGGCGTGATGGTGGTGGCTCTTAATAAGCAAAGGTATGTGTGTATATAATGTTGTCTAAGTGCGTGTCCTTGGTTTTAGGAATCCCCTTTTTCCAATACAGGAAGAAATGAAGAATCTTAAATTAATTTCCCTTGGAGCAGTTTTATTTTCAGTGTCTTTTTTAGGTTCAGGTAGATAGTAAGTGTTGGGGTGGATAGTGGTATGGCCAAGAATGACTGGCAGTGGGGATGGAGGTTCAGTGTTGCAGGGACTGCTTTCCTGCATATTTGTGTGACCCTCATAGCGTAGTTGCAACATATGGAGCATGTGGCAATGATCGTCACTCTCTTGGAATTTTGTCATCTTCAGTTTGTGATGAACAATTAACTTGTAAATAAAGGACTGAGTCTACCATGGATGTATATGGTATTATTCTGGGCACAGAAAT